GGGACGGCCCCCTTCGATGTTCCCGGCTGGGGCACCGTCCCCGCAGCCGTCGCTCTCGGCGGCCTCATGATGGTGGCGGCCGCTTCTCCTGCTGTGACGGCTGCGTATGTGGGGGATGGTCCTGTCGTTGGTGGTGTTGATAATGGTGGAGAGGGCCCGCTGGGTTGAGTCCTTAGAGCTGGGCGGGCCCTCTTGGTGGCGGTGGTGGTGGCGCGTGCGCCGGGTTGCCGCGGGTTAACGAAGGGATCGTTATTTGAGGGGGGATTCTTTTGTCTTGTGGTCGGGGCCGCTGACGACGCGGAAGATGGCGCGGCTCCAGGTTCGCTTGATAATCTACTATTATTACCCGCCTCATCAACAACCGGGGGTTGGGGGTGCACTTTTTCTATGTGTAATTTGACATCTTTCTGCGGGTACCTCGTCTTCCCCCTGTACCCGCAGAATCCACATTTATATCCTATACTATCCCCCGGGTGATCTTTCTTCAAATGTTTTGCGAGGTGAGGCGGGTCAGCGAATGTTCCCGCGCGCACGGAGGGACGCAATTGGTCGCTGCCATGGCAGCGCGGACAGATTACGCGCGCGGGAAGCGGGATCTCGATTACAATTTCCCTATGCTCGGCCTCTAGGGACATTTTCGATAGCGCCTTAAGCACAGTGCCTGTGCGGATACGCCTTAAGCTTTGCGGATACGCCTCAAGTGTGTATTGGGGTTGTTCCGCTCGGTGTCGCCTCGGTAGGCGACAGCAACGCACCTGTCACAACTTTACCACCGGACAACAACAATAAGGTAAGTATAATAAATAATAAAATAAAATAATAAAATAATAATATATTGACAGGTGCTGTAAAACGCGGATGCTGATGCGCGAGTGGAGGGAACGCTACCTAACCCCGAGGTGCCTGCCGGATACGCCTCTGCGCACGAGTGTCACCAGCCGCAATCTTTTTGTTAATAATGAGGGTAAATTTTTGTTTTTTGTTAATAATTTGTATATAGTTGAGATTGGGGGGAGCGCGCGATCTCAACTTACTATATAATAACCCTCTTTTTATTAATTTAGTTGCAAAAAATGTTAATAATGCTCCCCCTTTGTTTTAGGTTATGCGGCCTGGTGACTGTCAGCAGGGCGTGTGTACGAGCAAATACAGAGGTAAGTATATAAAAAATCAATTAATTTGGCAGGCACCTATTGCAGGCACTGTGCAAATATTTCCCTGTAAAAATGATTTCAGTGGCAGGCGAGTGGACGGAGTACTGCACAAGACAGGAGTTCTACACGACACCTAACCTGACCTGTCAAGGTGCTGCAGATGTAAATTGCTGCAAGTGATGTTATTAAATAAAAATGACAGGAGGTGGGTGGCTGAAGCAAAAATAAAAACGTGTAAAATATATAAAAAGTTTACTCTCCGACCGTATAACCGCTCTGCACACGGGTAAGAAGAAATAAAAGTGTGCAGAGCAATGTATTAACAAAGTAAAATAAAATTTGTCAAAGAGAATAAAAAAGATGTAAAGTTATTTCCACCCACTCTCCCGCAGCAGCAGCACCAGGACTTGTATAAAGAGGAAATCAAGGAAGGCAGGTGTATATTACAATATATATTTTTCTTTATTCAAAGTTTTGTCCGTAACGGACAGAACTCCTGTCGACACACACAAGGACGATGACACAGCACAAACGAAGACACACAGATATACACCTGGCGGGCGACACACACGAAATAGAAAATAAAAAAAATATAAAAATAAAATAAATAGAAGACGGACGCGCACTTGTGTAAATAAATAAATAAATAAATAGATAAAAATAATAGAAAAA